CACAGCGACCACAACGACCAGATGCAGTGCAAGATAGTCGCACGAGCACTGTTCGACTACGTCGCCCAGACAGACGAAGAGCTGTCGATCCGCGAAGGCGACATCCTGCTCATCACAGACGACACCGACCAGGACTGGTGGGCAGCCACTGAGAAGCCGGCAGACGCCTTCCAGGAGGCTCGCTCGGGCCTCATCCCCATGTCCTATGTCGAAGAGGTGCGTTGGCCGCTGCCGAGGCTGCGTGTCTGACTGCGATGCCTGTCTGCGATGCCTGCCCCTTGTGCCAGACGCCTTGCTCCACTGCGCAGCCCTGGCTGTTCTGCTGCTGCGCTGCTGTGCCCTTGCCCTAGTCTGCGCCGCCAGCCAGACACGGCGCTTTGCACAGCGCAGAACAGCACACAGTGCTTTGCTGTGTTGGCAGTGGCATGCCCGGCCAGCTTGGCAGCCAGCGAGATGGGCAGCCAGTAGCCTGCCGGATCATATGCAGCCATGCTTGCTGACTGCGCCCTGCGTTGCCCTTTCCGCACGGACGCACGACCTGCCCATCGCCAACCGCTATCTGTACCAACGCCTGGCATTTGGCAGGCAACGCCAGTCTGCCTGGCCACCGCAATATACGACTACGAGCCAAACACCGACGAGGAGATCTCCATCCGTGAGGGCGATCTTGTCAGGGTCTACGAAAAGGTCGATGCAGACTGGTGGTTTGTCAAGCAGGACCACAACGTCGGCCTCATCCCCGCCACCTACGTCGAAGAGGTGGGTGCTTGTTGTGATGGCCTGGTGCACCAGGCGCTGGCTCGCTGCGATTCTTCCGCCCATGAGCCCAGATCTGCCCGCACGCTAGGCAAACGGCGATCTTGTTGCGTTGGGTGCTGACGCAAGCTGCCATGCCCAACAAACGGCATCGGATGGATCCTCTCTAGCAATCTTCGCTGGATGGCCAGCCTGCAGAGGCACCACTGCCGCCGCTTCCAGCCGAGGTGCGCTCTGGCTCGCCCGATCAGGCATCCTTCCAGCCCGAGCAGCAGAAACACCAGCTGTTGAACGCCCTCAACGGCCTTGGATTCGTCAAGCCCAAGTCTGAACCCAGGAACATGGCTGCCCACATGTACGGCCCTGACGACATCAAGTACTACCCGCTGACTGAGATCGACAAGAAGAAGAAGAAGAACAGCAAGAAGGGTCTTCTTGGATTCAGCGATCAGGACGGCGCAATCTACTTTGTTGAAGACCCTGTAAGTGGCAAGAGCGCCAGAGCAGCTCATTTCAAGCATGGATGCAAAGCTGCCTGCTTACTCGTTTCCTGCCGATGCCGCGAGGCAGTCCCGAGAGATCATCTCGAAAATCCCCATCAAAGAGCTGACCCGCTATAAGGACAAGAAGACCAAGCTTGTCCTGGAGTTTGAGGGCAAGGATGCCAAGGACTACGAGGGCGAAAAGGTCGATGTCCATGGCGCTGTGGCCGAGCTCGAGCAGGTTCTCAACAAGGTGATTGCCGTCCTAATGATCTGTCTACAACCGCTGTGTAGACAACTGACCAGCATCTGTCCGTTGATCCATCCAGACCAAGAACGGCAATGTCGTCAGCGGATCGCCGCCCAGCGCCAAGACAACATTTGCTGCTCCTGTTCCGATTGCAGCTGCCATGACACCCACTTTGCCTGTCGCAGCAGCCCGCCCTCCGCCGCCATCGCCATCGCCTGCTTCTCTCAGCAGCGCGGCAACCGCACCAGTCAAGACTGCCCTTGCACTGTACGACTACGACCCGGTCGAAGAGGGCGAGCTCCAGATCCGCGAAAACGACAAAGTCGTGGTTATGGACGATACGGATCCCGACTGGTGGCTTGTGCGCATCGTTGGCAGACCTGGTGCCGAGGGTCTTGTTCCCAAGACGTATGTTGAGCTGCAGTCTGGCGCTGCATCTCCCGCACACCAGGGCCCAGACAATGCTGCTCTCGAAGCACGCCGTCGCGAGGAAGAGGCGGCTCAGCGTCGTGCTGATGAAGCTGCTCGACAGCGCGAGGAAGACCAGCGCCGCAAGGCACAGGAGGATGCACGGAGACGCGACGAGGAGCAGCAACGCCGCAAGCGCGAAGAGGAGGAGCGCCGCCATGCTGAAGAGGAGCGGCTCAAGCAAGAGCAGGCTGCTGCTGCCGCTCGTCCACCAGTGGTCGAGCCGCCAAGGCTTCCCACCCGCCCCGCTGCTGTCACATCGCCCGTACCGCCTCCTGCACCTCCTGCACCTGCGTCTGCACCGCCTGCACCGCCTGCTCCTGCACCACCTGCACAGCCCACGCTGGCTGCTGCTCTGGCAGCAAGGAAGCCTCTGTCGAATGCGCCGTCCATCCCAGACCGTCCGCAAGTTCCTGCATCGCGGCCCGTTACAAGCGCGCCGAAAGACACCAAGGTCAAGCCGGCAAACGAGAGTACGCAGTTTGTAGGCTGACAGTGGATATATTGGTGGATCGGCTTGTTGCTCACTATCAAACTGTGATCGTTTGCTTGGCAGTGCCCGATCCGTCCAAGCTGCGCAAGTGGAAAGACCGCTCTGGCTCATTTGAGGTGGATGCTGCGTATGTCGGCCTGAGCGAAGGCAAGGTGCAGCTGCACAAATCCAACGGCGTCAAGATCGCGGTGCCTCTCGAGAAGCTGAGCCCGGCGGATGTCGAGTATGTGCAGTCACTTCCTGGAAACGAGCATCTGGCTGCAGCTAGCGGTGCGACTCCTGCACCGCCCAAGCCAAAGACTGGCGGCTCGACCATGAACCTTGCCGGTGGCTCTGGCGCGTCGGCCAGCGAGTTCACCCACAACGGCTTCAACTGGCGCGAGTGGCTCATCAAGGCCGGCCTCGCATCCAAGGACGCCGAGTCGCTTGGCCGACGCTTCGCAGACCAGCACATGGATCAGACGATTCTGCCCGACCTTGACCGCGATGCACTGCGCGCCATGGGTATCACCGAGGGCGACATCATCCGCATCCGCAAAGCCGCCAACCTGCCCTCGCTGACACCTGCCACGCAGCAGCTGACTGCAGCACGGGAGAAGGAGGCTCAGGCGCGCAACCTGCAGATGCTCGACGCTCGCATGGCCATGAGAGCACAGTCATCTGGCCAGCCGTCGTCCACAGCAAGCTTGGAGCAGATCAAGGCCGACGAGGCCTTTGCTCGCGAGTTGCAGAACCAGGAAAACCGGCTGGCTCGCAATGGCTCAACGGCTACCTCGAGCGGCCTCAGCGTGCCTGGCGCTGGATCGGCTGCTTCTCGCAAACCTTCGGTTGGCGGCCAAAGCAACTCGGTCAACATGGCGACCATTCAGCAGGCCGGAAATCTGCTCAAGGCATCCAACACGTCCCGGATAAGTCCGCCCACCGTGCGCCGCACGTCGAACGTCTCGAATGCATCCACAACAAGCTTCAATGTTCCGCCGTCTACACAGGAAGTCAATGCCGCCAGCTCGCTCGGTCTCAAAAGCATCGGCGGCGCCTTTGGCGGTCCTGCCGGCGCCAGCAACAGCAGCGACCCGTGGGGTGGCTCGGCAAGCCCTGGCCGCAATGCGGCAACCCAGGAGCAGCTTCTCAAGATCCAGATGCAGCAGGAAGAGGCCAAGCGTACGATTGCAAGTGCCGAGCAGGCCGTTTTGCGTGCGCAGGAACAGAACCGCCAGGCGGCCCTCCTCGAGCAGCAGGCTATGCTCAAGGTCGCTCAGCAGCAACAGCAGTTGCAAGCACAGCAGCAGCAGATTAACGCGCAGCAGCAGCTCCTGCAGGCCCAGCAGCGTGCAGCGATCCAGGCTCAGACTGCGGCCATGCAGGCTCGTCCTCTTCCCGCACCGCTCATCCCGACCAACACGGGTGGATCTGGCCGCTTTGTCCCGACGGGTCCAGTCGCCCAGCAGCCTGCGATGGGCACTGGTGCCGGCGTTGCGCAAGGCATCCAGACGATGGTGACACCGGCCGGCGTTGTTCGACCCAACTGGATGAACACAACGCCGCAGATGCCGTTTGGACCTGCGCCGACTGGCCCTGCTATTACCTCCAACGACCGATACGCAGCATTCAAGGAAGTCAATCCCGCCGCTCCGTCGCTGTTCAACCAGAGTGCCGCCACTGTCGCGCAGCAGCAGCAGCAGCAGAATCAGCAACAGCAACAGCAGCAGATGAATCAGCCGGCCGGAGCGTTTGGCGCTTTTGGCGGCATGAACAACAATGCTGCTGCTGCGTTCCGTCCCGGCATGGCTCTTCCTGCTCAGGCCGGGCAAGCTGCCTTTGGCAACATGGGCATGGGCATGGGCGGCATGGGCACCGTCAACACCATGCAGGCCACTACGCCCGCGTTTGTCGCATCAACCGGAGCTGGCGTGCAACCTATTGGTGGTATCAACGCGTTCAACAACCAGACGATTCGTCCCAACATGGCAGCTGGACCTAACATGGGCAACATGGGCATGGGCATGGGTATGGGCATCGGCATGGGCGGATTACCCAACACAGCCAATGCTGGCATGATGGGAATGGCTGGAAATGGCATGGGCGGCATGGGTGTCATGGGTGTCATGGGCATGCAAGGTGCGTCTGTCAACAGCTTCAACCCACAGATGAACATGGGCATGAATATGGCCGGCCTTACGCCGCAGCAACAACAGCAGCTTCTCTTGCAGCAGCAGCAACAGCAGCAACAGCAGCAGCAGTTTGCAATGGGCCGATCTGGTTTCCAATGATCAACTCGTTTTCGTTTTAGACCAAACCTCATTAGTAGCACACCTACCATCTGCGCCTCACATTAAACACCTCGTATCAATGATGACACTGCGCTTTCTATTGGCAATGCCGGTGTTCATTCCAAGAAGAAAAGTCCCAGTCCCAAAGACACAGATGTCATGCTCGTGAAAGCGTTTGGCCACTAGGTGAGCAGCGAGGAGAGAAGGTCAGAGTTTTACGTTGGAGGAGGATAAAAGGAAGGCATTACCACACACAGTAAGCAAAAGAGGGAGCAAAAAATCGACTCTGGAGAGACTCGAACTCCCAGCCTTTGGATCCGAAGTCCAACGCCCTATCCATTGGGCCACAGAGCCATTTCACATGAAAAGTTTTAAATGTTGCAAAGTTGAACGCAACCCATTAGACCATGATGTCATTTCTCGATGCCAAGTGTGGAACGCCAGAATCAACATGCAACGTCGTCTCGCATAGGTGGGTGTCCCACACTCCTGTGTGCTGAAGTGCTGTTCGCTGGCTGGCAGACACAAGTACATCGCTTTGCCCGAGACTCTCGAGCTGGCGTTGACCAAGGTGATGCCATAATGGCTGGGTGTGACGCCTTCCTTGCCAGCAACACGTTGGCGATGAAGACGTGTCGTAACGATGTCGTTGGCGATGAACGATGGAGTGATTGTTCTCCATGTGATTCATCGTGTGCGCCGCAGCCGTTAGCCAACACGAGCCCAAATGATTGGTCAGAAGCGGCAACCCATTGCGCAGTACGGCGGATGTGCCCTTCATCGCCATCGTATGGTGGAGTTGTCCGACGGCGTAACGTGGCAACCGTGTCGCACAAATTTGCTTGTCTCGCCAGAACGCCAATAAAAGGGACGGCGTTAGACCCTCCCCTCGCTATCATCAACCCAATGTCGTCCACGCAGGCAGTGGCTGTCTCGGCAGAGTGCACGGTGCTGCGTGCACTGTATCCTGGCACGTTCACGCCGGTCAAGTCTTGCTGCAAGTTCTCCGAAGAGGTCAAGTGTGACGACAATGGTTTTGTGACGACGCTGTAAGTGCATATGCCATACACCCGTATCTGTGTCCCCTGTGTCCTCCGTGCCCTCTGCTCGTCATGCCAACGATTGCCAAGCCAACGGCTGGTGATGGTCAGCCATCAAAGGCCAATCCAACACACAGCCGAGTGCCCACCGCCACCGACTGACCGCCGTTGCTGTGCACCATCGCCCTTCCATCGTGTCTTTCCCGCCCACCAGCAACCTCGACGAGCAGAAGATTGTCGGCCCCATCCCCGAGCAGCTGTCGACGTTCTCGCAGCTGGACACTCTGTAGGTTCTCGCCAGTATGCGCCGTGTGGCAGTCCTGCCCCCTTTGTCTGGCCCCTCGCCTGGCCACATCGCGAAACATGTCTGCCGGCTCAATCGGCGCATCCATTGACCCGTCTGTTCCCATCACACCACCGCTTGCCACTGGCAGCATTCTGTCGCGCAACCAGTTCACTGGCCCCATCCCGGCGTCGCTCGCCAAGCTGACCAAGCTCAAGACGCTGTAAGCAACGCCGTCTGCCATTGTCCTGCCCATGTCCTGCCATATCCTGCCCATGTCCTGCCATGTCCTGCCATGTCCTGCCACACCTGCGGCAACCTCCGCGCCATGCTGATCGTCATCCATCATCCATCGACCACGTGCTCTGGGACCCGTCTCATGTGCGGAACCATCCGCTTTTCCTCCTCCTCCTCCTCCTCTTCCTCCTCTTCTTGCCGCACAGATCCGTCGCCTCGAACTTCCTGACTGGCACAATCCCGTCGGAGCTCAAGGACCTCAAGTCCCTCCGCTCGTTCAGGTTCGACGACAACCCGGCCCTCGAAGGCCCGTTCCCGACCGGCTTCACTGCAACGCTCGCCTCCTGCAATGGCACCACCACGGATGTCTGTCTTGGCCCCAGCCACTCTGGCGTGTCCTGCAGCCTCGCTGCCTGTGAGTGACGCCTGCTGCTGGCTGTGCATCCGGCCCATGGCGCTTGTTTGCTGACAGCTCTCTGGCACCACTCTGACACCACTCTGGCACCACTCTGGCTCCATTCAATGCACCTGCTGTGCCCCGCATTCGACGGCTGCCCGCCATCAAGGCCCGTCCGAGTGCGGCATCCTCAGCGCTGCGTTCCCTGCCGTGACCGTCAAGGCCGACTGCTGCAACAACATGCCCGGCATCACCTGCGATACCTCTGGCTCGATCACTGCCATCAACCTGTCCAACAACAAGCAGATCAAGGGCGACTTCCCAGTCGACCTCTTCAAGCTCAAGAGCCTCAAGAGCCTGCAGCTCGACAACAACGCACTGACCGGCACGATCCCCGCTGAGCTCGGCACCGCCCTGCCTCTGCTGACGTCTGTCTCGCTCGAAGGCAACGCGCTCATTGGCCGCATTCCCGATACGCTCGCCAAGCTCGACACGCTCAAGTTCGCCCGCAATGCCGGCCTTGGCGGCCCTCTGCTCTCTCTCAAGGCCGGCACGACCTGCACTGGTCTTGGCACTGCCATGTGTCTTCCTGCCGGCCGCACTGGCCCGGCCTGTGGCATCACCAAGAAGTGCAAGGACTGCGACGTGCTCGCGGGTGCTTTCCCCACCGTCTTCTCTGGCTACGAGTCCGACTGCTGCACCAACAGAGACGTGTACCGGTTCGCAAAGTGCGACGACGACGACTTTGTGACGCAGGTGTAAGTGGCATGCTCGTCTGCTGCGCCGTGCTTGTCGCATGCCACTCACTATCTGTCGCTCTGTGTTTGTGTTTGTGTCCATCTACCTCTGTGTCCCTCTGCCTCTCTGCTTGCCAGTCTGCTTGAGAAGCAGGGCCTCACTGGCTCGCTTCCTGATGTCCGCGCGCTGTCCAAGCTGTCCAAACTGTAAGTTGACCAGCACGAACAGCCGATCGTGGCCGGGATTGCACGACATGCGACTCTGATCAGCACGCACACTCATGCACACACTCATGCACACGCTCATGCCACAGCGAGCTTCGCTTCAACAAGTACACTGGCATCATCCCCGAGTACCTCGGCAACATGCAGACGCTCCGCTGGGTCGATCTGTCAGACAACCAGCTCAGCGGACCTGTGCCTGCCTTCTTTGGAAACATCAAGCTGCTTGAGCGTCTGTAAGTGGTGCCACGCCTGGCGGCCCAGCATCAGAGTGCCATGCCGGCAGCCGACCACTGACACTCGCCTTGCCGGGCCTGGCGATGCACAGCTACCTGAACGACAACCTGCTCCAAGGCACCATCCCGTCGTCGATTGGTGACCTCCAGAAGCTCGAGGCGTTTGCATTCAACAACAACTACCAGCTGTACAACCCGCTCCCCGAGTCGTTCAAGGACAAGTCCATCTCCTTCTGCACGGGCGCGTTCACGGCGGTCTGCTACCCAGAACACTTCCCTCCCTTGTGCCAAGTCCCTCGGTGTAAGTGTGCGACGCGACTGGATGCAGCTGGCCAGTGACAGTGCACGGTACTGATACTTGCCTTGCCTTGCATGCATGCATGCATAAAGGTGAGGGTGTTGTGCCGACGCTCCCTCAGACGACCACGATGACGACAACTGTGGCTCGCACGACTTCTGTGGCTCGCACGACAACGGGGGCCTCCACAACGACTGCTGGACCCGTCAGCCCGACCGCGTCTGCCACTGCTGGCCCTGATGGACCCGTCAGCCCGACTGCATCTGCCTCTGCTGGCCCTGATGGACCCGTCAGCCCGACCGCGTCTGCCACTGATGGCCCTGATGGACCTGCCGGACCTACCGCATCTGCCTCTGCTGGCCCTGATGGACCTGCCGGACCTACCGCATCTGCCACTGATGGCCCTGATGGACCCGTCAGCCCGACCGCGTCTGCCACTGATGGCCCTGATGGACCCGTCAGCCCGACCGCGTCTGCCACTGATGGCCCTGATGGACCCGTCAACCCGACCGCGTCTGCCACTGATGACCCTGATGGACCCGTCAGCCCGACCGCGTCTGCCACTGATGGCCCTGATGGACCCGTCAGCCCGACCGCGTCTGCCACTGATGGCCCTGATGGACCTGCCGGACCTACCGCATCTGCCTCTGCTGGCCCTGATGGACCTGTCGGACCTACCGCATCTGCCTCTGCTGGCCCTGATGGACCCGTCAGCCCGACCGCGTCTGCCACTGATGGCCCTGATGGACCCGTCAACCCGACCGCGTCTGCCACTGATGGCCCTGATGGACCCGTCAGCCCGACCGCGTCTGCCTCTGCTGGCCCTGATGGACCCGTCAGCCCGACTGCATCTGCCTCTGCTGGCCCTGATGGACCCGTCAGCCCGACCGCGTCTGCCTCTGCTGGCCCTGATGGACCTGCCGGACCTACCGCATCTGCCTCTGCTGGCCCTGATGGACCTGCCGGACCTACCGCATCTGCCTCTGCTGGCCCTGATGGACCTGCCGGACCTACCGCATCTGCCTCTGCTGGCCCTGATGGACCTGCCGGACCTACCGCATCTGCCTCTGCTGGCCCTGATGGACCTGCCGGACCTACCGCATCTGCCTCTGCTGGCCCTGATGGACCTGCCGGACCTACCGCATCTGCCACTGCTGGTCCCAATGGTCCCGTGAACCCGACTGCATCTGCCTCTGCTGGCCCTGCTACACCGACTGCCTCTGCCACTGGTGGCCCCGTCAACCCGACCGCGTCTGCCTCGGCTGTGGTCACCGTGACGATCGCGCCTCCCAACCCATCTCGTACGGCCACTGTTGATGCCAACGCAACTGCCGTCACCATCACAGTGACCGCTACTCCAGGTGTCCCTGCTTCCACAACCAATGCAGTCTATGGCGGCCAGCCGTCAGCGTCTCCCTCCTCTGGAGATGGCGGTTATAGCATCTACGGCGATGGCAACAACGGCGGTATTTACAACAAGCACGATCTACCCGAGGGAGAGCCCATTCTCAGCGGTGCCGGCTCTGTGGCTGCCTCGATCGTCTCGGTCGTTGCTGCTCTCCTTGCCCCTCTCGCCCTGTTCTGACCATGCCCTCTTCCATGTACCAACATATGCTAGACTGTCATGCAATGAACTTTCTGTGCAACATCGACATCAGCGATGAGTGATCGGTCCATGCGGCCAGACGCCGAGACGGATGCGCCAGTCGCAGAGCACGAAGGCAGCCCAGCAACACCTGCAGCGGCTGCAGCCGACGGCACAGCAACTGAGCAGCTCGCTCACGCTCCGCAGCCAGCCCAAGCCGCAGCACCATCGTCCGGCATGACGGCCGAACAGCGTGCACAAGTGCGCCCGCCAGTGCGAGCATCCCTTGAAACCTCAGTGGCGTGCGTGTGGCACTCTC